GCTTGACTGCAAGTCTCGAATTGGAGGCTGGCTTGACACCAGTAAAGTACTGCTTTGAAAACGAATTTTCCTTTTTTGTTGTTGTTGTAAAATTACAGCTACTGCTGGTTGTAGAGTTACAAAAAAAATGAATGCATCCGTAATAAAAGCTAATAATACTGAGAACAATTCAAGCACCCACAATGTATGAATCTACACGGGTAGCATGCCTCACAGTGGCTCCATAACTACTTATTGTTAGTATCAGTATCAATAATAAAAGCACGACATGCTGTTTAAGGCACTCAATTCATTTACTGAAAAACAGAAAGACTACAGTAACTCGTTTTACGCTTCGATATCGCAGGTTACGGATGAAACATGAAGCTGTCTTCAGCTTTGTGGATCTCCCTGCAATGACAGTCGGAACAGTTAGGTAAGCACGGGCTGCGGCTGGTGGAGAAGTAAACACACACATCCTGTCAGTGTTACGCCTGTGCAGACACAGCGACCTTGTGTTTGCTCACCTGGAGCTTCGTGGAGTGGTGTTCTGGGATCTCACGAACTCTGTTTTGGCCCATTTTATCGCGTATCCTCTCCACGCCATGATTGTGTTGACCTTCCGCTTCAAGCCCGTCCCACCACCACACTGTAGCTGATTCTGCGTTCACGGACTCATGTAAAAGCCAGCATTTGTAACTTGGTTGTATAATTCTGCATCTACAGGCAGCTCTTGCGCTGTGTCTGACTATATACATTCGGTTCACAGTATCTATTTAACTTAAATTGGTTATCTTAAATTAGTTGTGGCGTTAGTATTGTCAGTTTGATTTTTATTGGGTGGACACAGAGCTGCACAACACCAAAGGGTCAAAATCCTTGCATGCTTATAAATACAATAGAAGGTTATTTTGCCATAACCGTTCAGCTGTGCAACAGTAAATACTCCACAGGCCTCTGTTAGCGTCTCTTTTGTTTGGTATAATCAGCTCCCTCTAGTGGCGCATTGACGAACAGATTTGTCAGAACAAAAGCGCTTTCAACAGTGGTTAAATTGTTACACGTGTAGCAACTATTCAGTTTTTGTTTGTTTGTTTGTGATGGGATGTGCTACAATATCCGCAAATTTAAAAATTTAACAGTAAAACAGTTTTTTTTACTCCAGTGTGAGTATCTCAGACTTCTGGATGCCTATCCACAGCGCTGATTTTTAACCAGTAAAATATAGTGCTTCATCAAAATATAATTTATAGTTTGTGGTAGTTGTACTTTCTGTCTTTTGTGTTTATTTAACTACATTTCAGGGCAATAATATTCACTGTACTATCTTTACAGCTGACTCCAGTGTCTGACAAATACAGCAAGGATCTGTAGGTGACATGAAAATGAGGGAACTGCAGAAAAGCCACTAATTTCCAGGGGGGTTATGACCCCCCCAATAATCAGACCTAACCAATATAACCCCCCGATAAAATTAGGAATTATCTTGCATAAATAGGCTGTTGATTTTCTTTATTCATTTCAGTTATTACCAGCAAAATAGTTGCATGTTTAATCATCTGGGAATTTACCCAGATTTATTTATTTATTTAGACAGAGATCTTGACTCCCTCAATGTTCAGCACAAAGTTACACCGATGTATGCACTCACTCAGCAGTATTCAATTCGATTTTATTTATAAAGTATCAAATCACAACAACCGTTACCTCAAGGCGCTTTATATTGTGAGGTAAAAACCCTACAATAATACAGGGAAACACTAACAATCAGACAACGCCCTGTGAGCAAACGCTTTGGCAAAAGTGGGAAGGAAAAACTTCCTTTTAACAGGAAGAAACCACTGGCAGAGCCAGGCTCAGGAAGGGGCAGCCTCGTGATGCAACCGCTTGGGGGTGAAGAGAGGAAGACACGCTGTGGAAGACAGCCAGAGATTAATAATAACTCATAATTAAATGCGGAGAGGTGTGTAAACACATGGAGAGTGAAAAGAGTTGAGAGCGAGGGGCCTGGAAGCTGAAGGTTCTGCCTCCCATTCTACTGTTAATACTCTAGGAACCACAAGTAAGCCTGCAGTCTGAGAGCAAAGTGCTCTGCTGTGGTGATACAGCACTATAAGGTCATTAAAATAAGATGGGGCCTGATTATACGAAGCCTTTTATGTGATGGGAAGGGTTTTAATTTAGATTATGGATTTAACAGGGAGCCAATGAAGAGAAGCCGGTATAGGAGAAATATGCTCTCTCTTTCTTCTCCCTGTCAGTACTCTCGTGGCAGCATTTTGGATCAACTAAATGCTTTCAACAGTATTGATGAACAAGATGAAGAGAACTGTATTGGAGCAGTTACTACACATTGACCTCACAACTTTAGGTTGCCACCAATGACATGCTGAAGAGCCATTGTGCATTTCATCTTCAACAAAAGAAGCCAAGATGAAGTTGGATCAGAATTAATGGGAAGAGAAAAGTATAGCGAAGGAGAGAGACATTATTTCTCAAACGCCGTGGAGGCAATGTACGGTAATTGCTGCTGGTGTTCAGTGTTCGTGTGACTGCTGATAGAAGCAGGAGGATGAATTCTGTGGATGTGTACAGGTTTCTGCTCAGATTCAGACAAATGTTGCATTGGATGATGCTTCACATTGCAAATAGATAATGACCCAAAGCATACTGCAAAAGCAACCTAAGAGTTTCTCGAGGCAAAGATATGGGATGGATATTGTTCAATGGCCAAGTTAGTGCCCAACAGAGTGTGCTTTTGAGTTACTGCAGACAAAACTAATGTTGTAAAGGCTCACCTTTCAGCACATTCACTTCACCAGATGCACCTTGTTTCTTTTCCTCACCTTTGATTGGGTGTGGTGCTTGGCCTTAATTGCACTCACCTGTCACTCGTTATATAAGGACTGCACTCACCTATCCCTCACTCTTTCTTCACTCCCACATGGGGCGGCAGCTGAGAGATAGCAGTCCATGTGTGTCTTTCTTTCCTTTACCCGTTATTCAATAAAACGACAAAACCTGCAAATGATTGATGACTGCTTATTCTCATTCTAATCGGATGAGCCCATGATGATGACTACTTAAACCCTGAACCTTCCTTTCTCCAAAACATGGTCCTCCGAGCTGGAGTACCGTTAGCATCATGGATACACAGCAGCCATTGACTGAAGATTTGAGACGTTCCGGTCGTGAAAGGCGACCTGCTGCCCACCTGCAGCAGTATGACGTTCAGTATCCTGGAAGTAGAAGTCCTAGATGTGATACAGAGAGTCAAACAGAATGCCAGCATAGTGACACAGACACACATCGGCTGCAGGATCCTGACGAGGAGTCAGGAAGTCAACCAGAGACATCCCCTGCTCCTTTACCCACCAATCAAGATGAGGTGATGAGGGAACTCCTGATGACAATGAGGGAGATTAGGCAACTCATGATTCAGTTATCTCCTCCCCATTCTCGCAGTTCCTCCAGATCTTCAATTCACACTGTCTCATCTGATGAAAGCAAATCCTCTGTTTGCGGTTTGCAAGCCATTCCCCAAACACATCAGCAACATGAGCAGTTCCCAGTGATTGATCCAGCAACATGTCAATCACCCTCTCAGCCCCCCCATGTTAGCCATCACTCTGGTGCAGTTCTGGCTGCTAGCCCTCCTTTCCCTAATTCAACAATATTAGATGCTGCAGTTCCTTCAAGTGGTTTGCCTAGACCAGTTTTTCCTACACCAGATGAGACTCTTTTTAATTTCCTGGCCACACCACTGCAAGGTCCCCACCAGATTTCATGTGTTCAACCTGCTGTTCCTCTAGATGAAGACCCCCGCTCAACCTCCCGTTTGCATTCCAGAACCAAGGCAGCACCCTCCTGTAAAGCAGCAACCAGCTACATCTGATGGTTTGCATGCACAAAAACCTTCGGTACCCATTACTGCTAGTTCTAGTCACCCTGTTAGCACTAGAACACATGTGTATAAGCTTGAGGGTCCTTCTTTCCCAGACCTTACCAGAGAAGATGAAATCCAGTATAGGCTGTTACGAATGGCCCTTACTAACCTGCTTGACCCTCATGAGACGGAGCATTTTAAATATCATGTCCTTCTTGATCATCTGAAAGTAGACCAAGCTAAACGGTTAGCTATTTCCTTTTCCTATGCTCCTGACCCATACACTCAAGCCATCAAAGCTCTTGATGAGCGTTATGGGCAACCAAGACAGCTAGCATTGAAAGAGCTACGGAATATACTGGAGCTTCCTCCTATCAGGGCAGGTGATGGTCGGACTCTGGATAACTTTGCTCTTCGTGTGCAAGCTTTAGTTGGTTTGCTTAGCACTATGGGTGATCAAGGACAGACAGAACTAAATTGTGGCTCCCATGTCGATCGCCTACTTGAAAAGTTGCCCGCAGAGCATTCCAGTCGCTTCAAACGGCACGTTTACAGGGAACAAGGAGATATGATGTATGACTTACCTTTGTTCTCATCCTGGTTGCAAATGGAATGCAAGTGTCAACCAAGAAAGGACAGTCCTGTTTCATCCTTTAACCAGCCACGACCTGCCCATAAGTACACCTCTCCACTCAAAACAATATTACATGGGACAAATGCATTCGATCCTGTACAGGCAGCGCAATCCATCATAATGACTAAGGCAAGATGTGCATATTGCTGCTCACCTGAACACCACATTAGCAAGTGCCCTGAGTTCATTAACAAGACAAAGGATGAGAAAACAAACTGGATAAAGAGAAACAAACGGTGTTGGCATTGTGCTAGAACTCATCAGGCTGCGAAGTGTGATCTGAGGAAAGCATGTGCCACCTCTACATCTACAGATCCTATGTGAGGTGAATCAGAGACCTAGAACTGGAACTAATCCTGTAGTGAGGACACTGTACTTTGATAGACCTAGCAATTGTCCTAGTGTACTATTAAAGGTTGTAAAAGTGCTCCTGTGTAATGGCAAAAGAACCCTAGAAACATATGCAATTCTTGATGATGGTTCCCAACGTACCATGCTTCTGACATCTGCAGCTAATCATCTCCACCTAACTGGGGAAGCTGAAAAACTATCACTCAGAACTGTCCATCAAGAAGTTGAAACCATTCAAGGTTCTTGTGTAAGTTTCCAGATTTCTCCCATCGCACATCCAGAGAAAACGTACACAATTAATAATGCCTTCGCTACAAGTCACTTAGCACTTTCAGACCACACCTACCCCGTATCCTCTCTTCAACGGAGATACAAGCATCTTCAAGGTATCCCATTAACCGTTGTTAACAAAGCAGCTCCACTACTGCTCATAGGCTCTGATCATACCCACCTTATTACGCCTATTGCACCAGTTAGACATGGACCATTTGGATCTCCTGCAGCAGTCAAAACCCGCTTAGGATGGACACTCCAAGGTCCAATCACAGACTTCCAACCCCAGAGCAGTTCCACGCATGCCCAATGTTTGTTCACATCTTCCAGTTCAGGTTCAGGAGAACCGCTCCAGCACATCCTTGTGTCCGCTGATGGCTCTGAATTCATTCAGCCAC